ACCATGGAAGAATTATTTCTGCTACTGACTGTAGAAAAAACCCAAACAGTAAATCAGTCTCAAACAACTCGTGACCCGAAGGGCATGCTGGGTTACACTTGACATAGATCGTCTCGAGTCCTGGCACGTCAGTTTCATGGCACCTTATTCCATGAGCTCATTTTCTATTTTGGGCTTCAGTCACCACTGGGTGGGACAGTGATACTACAAATATATTAGTCACAAAGCTGCTTTTAGAGTTTAATTTGGAAACTTCCAAACAGCAAGTGATCGTGTGCTTGTCATATCATTTATTTGGGCACATCTCCAAAAAGAGAAGAGCAGGATGAACAATACTGTGATTTGTCTCCTCAATCTCATGTTAGCAGGTCAGTTTTTTTGTAAATTTGATGCCACTTTCATCAGCCTGTGGCCGTCATGTTCACCACACAGGGTACCATTCTTGGTGCCAAGAGGAAGAAAGTAAGTCAAGACTGTTCATAGAAACACCATTTTTAGACATGATCTCTCTCTCACTGTGTGTGTGATTTTTTAAGCCACACTCACACTCAGCTGTGCTTAGGACTTACTATTATCTATGCTCAGGGATCACTCCTAGCAGTACTCTGGGGGCAATATGCAGTACGGGGGCCAGCCGAGTACAAGGCAAGTGCCTTACCCTCTGTACTATCTCTCAGTCATGAAATGTCTTGAAATGAAAACTTCTGACCTTACATAGTTGAGTGTTAATGACCCACTGGGTTAGGTTCTAACTAGATTGTATGTACTAGTTATGAGAATAAGCCAAGCCTTGCTAAGAGACTCGGGACAGTGATTAGTGTGAAAACTTAGGCAGGGTCTAAAGTGTGACCTATGGCAAGCTGACAAGTTAACCAGCTCCAATGCCATGATCACTGCTGCCCAGAGACCCCAATACTCCTAGGTTCAAGAGAAAAGTCAGATTATTATAGCAAATAGCAGCAACCAGAACAGCAACATCTGGGGTGCTGATTTCCCCAGTTCTCCTGTGAGGGAAAAGGAGGCTAACGGATCACCAACTGTGTATGTGGTACACTGCATCACAGAACAAGAAACTATGAATTTAGGGAACCTGATCTCTTATACTGTGCAGTAAACTAGCCTGCCCTCTGCACTGGGAGAAAACATTCTCCAAGGATGCTTGCTTTACATAAACTCACCTGAAAACAACGGTTCAGGATTAAGATGTGCAGAAACACAAGACCCATGTAGCACTGTAGTCCTGTTGTTCATTGATTTGCTTGAACAGGCACCAGTAACATCTCCATTGTGAGACTTTTGGCATATCGAATATGCCGCGGGTAGCTTGCTAGGCTTTGACAAGTGGGCGGAATACTCTCTGTAACTTGCCGGGCTCTCTGAGAGGGGTGGAGGAATCAATCCCGGGTTGGCCACATGCAAGGTAAACACCCTACCCACTGGAGCAATTGCATAGCGGGTAGGGCATTTGCCTTTCATGTGGCTGACCTGGATTGGATTCCCAGTATCCCATATGGTCCCCTGAGCACTGCAAGGAGTAAGACCCATGTAGACTGGATCAATTCCACATGGCAGTGAAGTTCAAAGTGTTGTGTTTTGATTTTATTTTCTAAACTAGGCTACACTAGGAATACCTCCCTCTAAAGCCCACTAGAATAAGGTGCATTTTAAGTGTTTTTCAGCACTGTACTGGAGGAGCCTGGAGCTGAAGGAGAGGTGTGGCAGAGAGAACCTGGCTTTATTCACAGTTACCCAGTGAAAGAATCAGAACTCCAGATTTCCAAGACTTACACTGTTGCTTTAATATCAGGATTCTATTTCACTGCCGGATGTGGGTGGGAGCAGCCACAGAGCAGAGAGGAGTGGAGAATGATCCAGTCCCATAAGAAAATCACTCAGGGCCAAAGAGACAACACACTGGGTAAGGCACTTGCCTAGCATGCAGCTGACCCTGCTTTGATTCCCAGCACTGAATATGACCCCACAGTACCACCCTGATCACTGAGCTAAGAGCAAGCCCTGAACACCTCCGGGTGTGGCCCTCCAATAAAAACAAACCACTCCACAGGCAAGATAAGTCATGATCACATAAAAAGTAAAAAGTGACATATTTCTGGCAATGGAAGATAATTACATGAAGTCTGAATAGTTCTTGTTGACTCTCAGAAGACAGTGAGAAACTACCTAAAACAGTATTTTTATTATAAACAATCTTGTAAGTTATATCCCAAATTCAGAAGAAAATTAATCTCTAGGTTCTTGTTTTTTAAATCTTAGTTATAACTATCCAAAATCTTATGGGATCCACACACACATTTGAGGCAGTGAAGAAAAATGACCTCTTCGTCCATTTCCATTATGACTTCCACAAATTCCAATGAGCAAATATACCAAGTCCTTTTCTTTTCTTTCTTTCTTTCTTTCTTTCTTTCTTTCTTTCTTTCTTTTTTTCTTTTTGGGTCATACTCAGTGATGCACAGGGGTTACTCCTGGCTCTGCACTCAGGAATTACTCCTGGTGGTGCTCAAGGGACCATCTGTTGCTGGGAATTGAACCCAGGTCAGCCGGGTGCAAGGCAAATGCCATACCCGCTGTACTATCACTCCAGCCCCCAAGTCCTTTTATTTTCCCAGAAAAATATAGATAAGGGAATCCATAGTCATGGAAGACCCACCACGTCCTCTTAAGCTATTTGTGCCATATTGAGACTAGAGACCCAAAACAAGGGTCAAAGGAGAACTACAACATGACCCAATGAGACATATTCCAAAGTGTCTGCACACACTTTTCCCAAGAATGGAGGGCCTGCAAGCTTAGCTCTGCAACTGTGTGACCTTAAGCTCGTTCTCAACCACCTGAGTTTATTTCACATCTGTAAAGTTAGGATAATGCATTCTCTCATAAGATTAATGATGGAATTAAATGAGATCAGCCATGCAAGTACTTAACAGGCACTTAACAGGTACATGCAAGTACTTAACATGTGATGAATGAATAGGATCCATTATCATGATTATAGTATATGGGTGCCACCCATACCATTTAAACCTAGACTTTCCCCATGTTTAACTGTATACACTACAAAAAATATTCACTGCCCTGGTTTTATTCCCCTGGGGCTGTGCTTTCATGCCTTTCCAGTAGAAAATAAAAAATTCCAATATGCTAATATTTCAATGCACAAATGCCATCGCTGCCACCTGCTGAAATAGCACACACACAGTGAATTGGGGTCAAACTCATGCATGAGATTACACAAGAATGAGTGAGTGGCCCAGTGGTTATCAATCTGGGAGCTTGAAAAATGTCACTCTGCTGCTCCTACAGATCCTAATGAAATCAGTCAGGACCGGGGTCATTTTTTAATTTTCCCAGGTGATTCAAAAGTATATTTGGGTCTAGGAAACTTTATCCCAGCTTGAAAGAGTTCAGTTTTCTTGAAGAATTTTTTCTTATCATATTTACTCAGGAGGCAAACACATATTGATCCTTCAGATCCTTCAGAAAGAGGAGTTTGATTCACTGGACCCGTCCAACCTCAAGGATCTTGAAGTTGAACAGGACATTCCAACAGGTGGATGGACAGAAAGAACACTGTGAAAACAAAACACAAGGAGGGATATAGTGGAGGCACGGGACAATTCAGAAGATTAGTGGCTGGGGCCATAGTACAGCGAGTAGGGTGTTTGCCTTGTATGAGGCCGACTCAGGTTCAATCCCCAGCATCCCATATGGTCCCCCAAGCACCGCCAGGAGTAATTCCTGAGTGCAGAGCCAGGAGTAACCCCTGTCGCCGGGTGTGACCCAAAAAGCAAAAATAAATAAATACATAAATAAATAAATAATAAATAAGGAGATCTAGTCTACCTCCCAAGATGCAGTGTCTTGGTGAAGAGGGTGTTCTAGATCATGGAAACATTTCTTACAAAGCCCCAAAAGGAGAATATACATAGAATATTCCAGAAGCCCACAAGGAAATCAGCACCAGACAGTTATGCAAAGGCTGAAAGATGAGATAGGAAAATCAAGAGGAGGACTAGGTTTTATGTAGGTGAAGAAGTAGCACTATCTAAGCTGTTGTCCATAAAGACCATTCTAGCTGCCAGGTGGAGACTAGATATAATATTGCTTATGCCTCCTCCTCAAATGCCTTGCCACACCCTCGTTTTGTCCTCAGTCACCAAGTTTTTCTAATCCCTCTCAATTCTGTCCCCGGGTGAAATCCGCCTTTCTCACTGCAACTACCTTAGCGCAAGATTTCACCAAGGACAAAATTGAGAGGGATTAGAAACACTTGGTGACTGAGAATAAGTCAGGGACACAGAATAAGCTCAGAGCTTGAGTGCTGAAAGGCAGGTGACACAGGCCCTGAACAAGAGAAGAGAAAGAGTGTGTTAGGTGCTAGGGTCTGAGACCTCTTCAAGGAAAGTTTATCCTTGCTTTATCCAAAGGCCCTGCTCAGATTGCTTGAGCCTAGAGGGGAATTACTCAAAGTCTGTGTTTTTCTGTGCTATGGCATTCTACCAATTCTCATGACATTTGTTCATCTGAACTCATATTAAGGATTTCTATCAGAGGGGCAAAAAAGGATCTTCATGGAATGAGAAGGTCATGGAGTGGGGGTGGTTGTTGGGAGAGAGGCCAGGCCATGGACACAGATATGGTCTGGTTTTCATTTCTTTCTTTTTTTTTTTTTTTTTGCTTTTTGGGTCACACCCGGCAATGCACAGGGGTTACTCCTGGCTCATGCACTCAGGAATTACTCCTGGCAGTGCTCAGGGGCCATATGGGATGCTGGGAATCAAACCCATGCAAGGCAAATGCCCTACCCGCTGACTATAGCTCCAGCCCCTTGTCTGGTTTTCTTAACTCGGGAAGATGTCTCAGTTCCTTTTTCCACCCGAAATGGCCTTAAAACGAAAGCTATAAGCAGGCACTCGGAACCCTCATCAGCACAGTAAAATCATCACATTGGGGTGCTTTTTGCGAGGCAAACACATCAGCAGAGTTGTAAGCAGCTCCATTTATTTGAGTAAATAGCTTGTAAAGAAACTGTTGGTAAACATTACAAAATTAAATACATTTTCAAAAGCTTGCCAGTATACATAAAATTCACAAACATAGTTCTCTTAAAAAATAAAATATGTTCAGAGCACCCTTGATATAAAATGCCTGGCCCCGCATCCTGGGTCAGGGCCACCTGGAGACATCTTATGGGCAGGTGGGGTTTCTGCAGGGAGGCAACAGGGCCTCATGGATGGAAGGACGAGTTCCAACACTGACCCTGATCCTGCCCACATCCATCTGAAGGTTGATCCTTCTCTAAGGAGCTGGTATGTAACTGAGAGGGGCAGGGCAGACACCCCAGGCCTTGCTCCAAATAAGAGGATTGGGGTGTAAGAACTAGGGACAGGAGCCAGAGTTCTCACCGTTAAGTCAGAATTACCATCTCCACCACATTTCCAAACCGGCAAATGCTCCTAAACAGAAAGTGAGTCGTGCTCACCTCCACACCTCTTCTCTCTCTAGGACCCCTCACTCTTGTTTGACGCTGCCCAGGCACAGAAGTGACCAGAATCTACTTCAAAGGAGGAAGCTAGTGAATTGGCTAACTTCTTTATGACCTGCTTTCATGGAGAGAAAACAATACACAGTATTTGGTTGAAAGCAGAGAATGAATTGCTACACGGTGCTTCCTTTTCCCCCAATGCCATGCAGAGAGCTGTGGGCATTTCTCGAGCTATCCAAATAGTTCTTCAAACTAAGGGTTCATAAAACTTGAAAAATACCACAAATGAGGCAAGAAGTACATGACCTGGCAAAGCATCCCAATTAATGAAATAATAGCGAGTCTGTAAGTTCAAGCCCTGGGCCAACGTCACACGTTTGTCATGTAGCTCATTGAAACGATGGATACACTCAAATCTCTCACTTTGGTGCCTACAGTGAATGTTGGACAGGTCAGCAGCACTTACATGAAGAACATCTAGTGGCCTCTTAGAAACACATATGTCCATGACTCCCCACAGTAGGATGGCCACAATTTTGTTCCATCAATGTGAAGTCAAACTCACACCTACACTTTCACTTAGTCGTCTGTAGATATATACAAGTACGAGAAATTTGACATTTGAGTCAAATGTACAACTCAAGGGGGGAAAATATTACCAATGGGCCATAAGAAAACCATCATCCCTGTATAGTTAGGTCCTAAAAATCTCTGGTTTCTCCAAGAAAATGCTACCTAGCTCCACTCATCCTTGGCTATTTGCCTGGTGTGATACTCCTTGGTTGGACTGAAACCAGAGTTATGATAGCTATGCTATTAAAATATTACACTAACAAAACCCCCCAAACAAAGGAACACTCTTGAATAGTCTAGTAGATATACCTAACCCCCCACCCCCCAAAAAAAGTTACTGTTAAGGACAACTATTCTTTAATAAAAGTCTTGGTGAAGTCCAAGCCCCAAGCCCTCTTCTTTGCCTCTTGGAGAGTTCTACCCTGTGTTCAAATTACACATTCTTCTTCTGCGGAGGGCTCAGTTTCCTCATGCCTCTTATCCGAGATAGCAGCTCCTTGATAAATTCCTAAAACAGATCAAAACAAGTTGTCAATATGAGAGGGTGACCATACTCAAATTCATGTTTAAAACCTTTTTGAGTTAGTTGCAGTGAACCTGTGCAAAGGAGTTTGGCTTGGTGTGTTAACCCCACTCAATGCCTTTTTTGCAAACCACAACACCCAAAAGGAGAGAGAGAACAAAAGGGAATACCCTGCCACAAAGGCAGGGTAGGATGGGGGGGATGGAGGGTGGGAGGGAAACTGGGATCCGTGGTGGTGGAAAATGGGCACTGGTGCAGGGATGGGTATTTGATCATCGTATAATTGAAACCCAAGCACAGAAATTTGTAAGTCTACAACTGTACCTCATGGTGTTTTACTAATAAAAATTAAAAATAAATAAATAAATAATAAAAAGACATCCAAGGAGATGGTGAAAAAGAAAATAAACAAAGTACAAAGCAGAGACATCTTGGGAGGGCCTTGGATATAGCTCACAGTGCTCAGGGCTACTCTCTGCTCTGTGCTTGAGGTTAACCCTCAGGAAACCATCAAGCGCAAAGGATCAAAATGGGGTCACCCACAGGCAAAGCTAGTGTCTTAGCCTCTCCACCATCCATCTTTCAGGCCCTATAGAGAACTTAAAAAAACTAAGGAATGATGACACTTCACCCCCACAATGCTGCCTTCTTCAGGGAGGAATCTGGGTCTGCCTCCACTCCAGGGCATTATCTGTTCATCCTCTGAGGGTTCTGGAGTTCAGATTAGTGCTTCTCAACCCTTAGTAAAAGTTTCAATCAGCGGGGCTAGGGCGATAGTACAGAGGGTACTTGTAAGCTTGCCATATATGCACCTGGCCCAGGTTTGATCCCCAGCTCTGCACAAGGTCCCCTGAGGGGACTAACTAAACCCTACCTGCTAAACCCAGCCATCCTGGAGTTCTGGATGGTGTAAGTCCTGAGGATCTGTCATCCTGCCAAGCTCCAGGATAAACCTACAGTGCTGCTCCCAGGAGTCTAAATCTTGACCCTTTCTGATTGAAAATCAGTTTTAAAATTTTGTTTATAATTCAGTACACATTCCTGAAATAAGAATGTGAAAATGAAAACCTACTACCCACAATGTACTTAATATTTCCTTCCTTCCTTCCTTCCTTCCTTCCTTCCTTCCTTCCTTCCTTCCTTCCTCCCTCCCTCCCTCCCTCCCTCCCTCCCTCCCTTCCTTCCTCCCTCCCTTTTCTTTCTGAAGCACCTTGATTTATAGTATTGTTAACAATGGCATTTCATGCATACGGACATTCCAACATTCCGACACCATACCCTCTACCAGAGTGTCTGTTTCCCTCCACCCCTAACTCAAAGTCCCCTTCAATCCACTTGAGGTTGGCCTTAGTATCTCAGTTCTGTAGACCAGTTCTCTAGTCCTGTTGTGTTTTCTTTGACTGTTTGTTATTTATTCCCCTACTAGGTTTCTTTATAACCCACATATGAGAGAAGTGTGTCTCTTTCCTTCTGGCTGAGAAGTCATGCATTTCATTCATTCATTCATTCATTCATTCATTTATTGCTTTTCTGGGTCACACCCAGTGATGTTCAGGGGTTACTCCTGTCTCTGCACTCAGGAATTACTCTTGGCGGTGTTTTGGGGGACCATATGGGATGCCGGGGATCGAATCCAGGTCAGACTCATGCAAGGCAAATGCCTTACCTGCTGTACTATTGCTCCGGCCCAGTCAATGCATTTTAAAGGGGAAGATCCACAAAGTGATTTCATGACACAGATAAAGACACCCAAGATGAAGAACATTCTAGACTGGCTCTTAGTCTATGCCCTCAGGAATATTTACCTCTTGCCTCATGTTGACAAATAGCTGGCAACAAAATCAGTAACACCTATGTCATAAATACAGTCTTTGTATTTTGGGTTTGTCATAGACAAAGCTGGCAGTCAGACTTTGTGATCAATGTGTGATAGTCTGAGGAGGCACCTCAGGGACCATGATAGCAAAACCACAAAGACTTCATCTCCATCTGACCTTCAGAAAAACAGCTCTCAGACAATCTTCTGGGCCAACTACAAGTCTTAGTCATGACCCCTGCACTAAACAATCACTTAGTCATCACCTTTGTCACAAAACAATAGTAGTGGGAACTACTCTCCCACTCTAAAATTTAACCAGATATTTAAAGTATCTAATTGCCACCATGAGCTTTTAAATAATCTTCTTGCTGCCATGGAAGTCGTATGTACTTTTACTAGAAAACTTAAAAATACAAACCAATGTGCCAATAACACTTTCCTCTGTGGAAAATGTTTTCACACAATTAAGGTGATGCTAAAAAAATATTTTTCCCACTTGGCATCATCCAACCCATTTTTCTGCCACAACACTAAAGTTTTCCTAAACAATGATTTTAATGGTTAGACAATTCTTTATTATATGGATATTCTAGTCTACTTAATGGCCCCATAACTGGATATTTCACTGGTTCCTGGCTTTTCAAATGTATAAAAAAAAAAGGCCACAGTTAATCTTTGAGCACTAATCTGCAATTTGGACTATAGCAGAAGCTGCCCAAATGACATATACATCTTAATGCCATCATTTAAGAACTTGAACAGAATAGAATAGCATTCTTCAATCGTTTTACTCCTGCAGTCCAGTACCTGTCCTGCATACTGATGGTCCAGCAGCGATGACCAAGGTGATAGACTAGTGATTTTTGACCTTCCCACCAACTGCACTGGTCTGGTTGAAGGTCATTGGAATTGAACATATGTGAAGTGAGATGAGGCTCTAGTTTAATTTTCTGAGTACTATCCAATTAAAGCCTTTTCTGGGATAAGAAGGAAATGCCACAATTTCCCACTTCTACATTGTTTTTGTTTTGTCATAAAATTAACTGCAATATTACCCCCTTTACTATGTGACTTAAAAATATCCAATACATTTCACAACTTCAAGTTTATTGTTTCTAGAATCTTACTCAAGTGACTGTTGTGAAAAGTTTTATTATTTGAGCATAGTTTTTTTGCTTTTAATAAGCAACAGGATCATAAACCCTATCATGTGTGTTGTTAATACTCAGATAGGTAACCTTTCTGCACTCTTAGTAACATTGTTCACAATAATTATTATAAAAATAGCGCTGTAGCACTGTTCTCCTATTGTTCATCAATTTGCTTGAGCGGGCCCAGTAACGTCTCCATTGTGAGACTAGTTGTTACTGTGTTTGGCATATCGAAATGTCACGAGTAGTTTTCCAGGCTTTGCCGTGCGGTAGCTTGCCAGGTTCTCCGAGTGGAGTGGAGGAATCGAACTCAGGTCAGCTGCATCAGCTGCGTGTAAGGCAAATGCCCTACCCACAGTGCTGTAAAATAAAAATTACCTAAGGAATAATGTATTCTACACTACAGAGCTTTCTTTTTCAAAACAAAAGTAATTTGGTAATTTAATTTGAATTCAGATTTTTTTCAAAAAAACATCAATCATGGTGGAATGTTCTAAAAGCTTAAATAATTTTTATTTATGGTATAGTGGCTTGAATTAAAAACTCTATTTTAAACTTTTATATAAGCAGGCTGGAGTGATAGCACAGCGGGTAAGGTGTTTGCCTTGCACGCAGCCGACCCAGGTTCGATTCCCAGAATCCCATGTGGTCCCCTGAGCACTGCCAGGGGTAATTTCTGAGTGCAGAGCCAGGAGTAACCCCTGCACATCACCAGGTGTGACCCTAAAAGCAAAAAATAAAATAAAATTTTATATAAGCAATATTGTCTGTAACTTAATGTACTATGATGTTCATATTTTAAACTGCTCATTACATTTGCCTAAGGAGGTACTCAGATGAGTAAATTAAAAAAGGGAAAGAGCAATATTTCTTTTCCTTTCAGAAACCAACCACAGCACTAGCAGCTGATTTCATTGTCTACCCTTAGTTGTTAAGCAAGATTAGAGGATCTCTAATCAAAAAACACTTTAGTGCTTTGGGATTCGTATTACTCAAACACACTCCATGGAAGAAACAACCTTTATCATTTATCTCCATAACAGACCGCTTAGATGGGGAACAGGAATAATACTTTAGTTAAGAAAAGGGCTGTGACTTTGGGGAAATGACATCTGAGTCTTGAAGACACATTCAACAACAAAGGTCAGCTTGATGCTGATTAGGGGGCCTGGGCCCCAGTAAGCATTGAGGCCCTGTAGAGAAACAGTTGAGGAAGGTGGTGGTGGGGTTCGGGATCCTACTGCAGATACAGATGGGCATGATGAGAGGTGCAGGGCCAGCAGACCAGAGCTACATAGGCTACAGGAAGGTGCCAAGAGAGACTTGGTACAGTGAAAAGCAACTGGAGCTTGTAAGTAGGGGAGAAACATCTTGGGATCACCTGTATAGACAACAGGTTTGAAGACAGTGTGAAGGGAAACCATCTCAGAGTTATTGCAATGGACCAGGATGTCGTTTACGGTGAGGTGATGGGAAGTTGATTAACATCCAGTTTGAATCTGTTAGGAACAAAGTTGCTAACAGAATTCATCTGTAAGTCAGTCTTTGTATGCCTTCATGTATTTTAGGTTAATTACCTGAGAGTGGAACTGATGAGTCACTGATCTCTTTGTCTGCTTCTCTTTACACCAGGAGTTGGATAAATATAGACTTTTTATAATAAGTCCTGAAATCGTGTAATGTTTGTCAGCTAAGTTTGATAATGTCAGTTGATCATTTTCAAAGCCACTGTAAGTGCTTACATTTCCTTCTGAATTTAGAATTATCTTGTAAATATCTACTAACAAAAGTCTTCTGGGCTTTGATTATAATGCATTTAATCTAAAGATAAATTTGGGGAGAACTGACTATCTTAATTATAGTGATTCTTACCTATGAGCATGGTATATCTATATTTAATTAGAATTTTCTTTATCTCAGCCATGTTTTATGGTTTTTCATTTATAAGTATTATACTTATCTGCCAAATAATAATTATTTCTTTCTAAATACTTAAAACTTTTGACCTTGTAATT